TGGCTGGCAACCGGTTCAGGGTGTCCCCCGCCTACTGCCCGAAGACGGCTGGGATAGGCTTCAGCACCCCCGCGACCCTTGTGAGATAAGTAGATCGGAAAATGGATGGATGGATAGATGGATGAATAGATATATATTTCGCATGCAGAAAATAAAATGATAATTGACAATTATTGCAGGACACGCCACTTACTTTGACAAGCTCTTCAAATTTCGTAATGGTCGCTTTGAGGATCTGCTCAGTGACGAGCTCAATGTGCGCCGTGGTGTTGCTAGCCGCATGGCTGGGCGTTCTGTGGCCTGCGTCGACAGAAAGGTTAGTGGCACTCCACTTCGCACGTTTCCTCCTGATCTTCTTTTCAAACCATGCCTGCTTCTCACATGTGTTCCTTCAGGGAACAGGTCGCTACTCAGTCTACGTGGCAAACTACGCCAGCGGCAACGTCGGACCGCACGCACTCTTAGAGATGGATGTGGCTGCCAGTGATGTAGCAAATGGCGTTATCGCCCTGTCTGATGTCGCTGTCACAGCTGGAGTCAATAAGCTCACAGGTCTGAAAATCAATGTGTGATGTTTTAATCTTTCGAGGGACTTTTGATTCACAGTGTCATTTTGATGCAGGTGGACGCGGGGTTGTGGTTGGACCCATCCTCAGCGATACAAAGTCTGATGTTTTCTGTGACAATGAAGGAGGACCCAACTTCCTGTTCAAGAACAATGGAGATGGGACTTTCATTGACATTGCCAGGCAAGCAGGTGATAACGACTGAAAACGAGGTTGACTTTGGGTGCAACTTCATTTCATTTTCCTAGCTACACTTCAGTCGTTAATATGGTTAAGCTGTGGGAAAATGACATGTTCTCCCATTCTCGCTGGGTTTTCTGCTGATAGTCCATCATTATCCCACATTACAAAAACATGCATGTTAGTTCATTGAAAATTCAAAATTGTACGTGTGGGGAATGTGAGTGTGAATGTCTGTTTGTCTAAATGTGCCCTGCGATTGGCTCTTGACTCGTCCATGGTCTTAAGAAATCAGCTGGGATAGACACCAGCTCACCCACAACCCAAATGAGGGCAAGAACATTGAATGATGGAAGAATGGCACCTCCAAGGTTCAAGTCCAATGTTCTCTTTGCAAAAATGTGAATTATAGCTTGACTCTGTGTTGACCCATCAAGTTGTGGAGGACAGAAACCAACATGGTAGAGGAGTAGCACTGGCTGATTTCAATGGTGATGGGAAGACAGACATCGTCTACGGTAACTGGAACGGCCCCCACAGGCTCTACCTGCAGGGCAGCAACTCAAATTTCAGGGTAAGTAAGGAGTATTGGACAGTGGAGTGAACCGTGAAGTTGAAAAAGCGCTGAACTTGACAAATATCCTCCTTGCAGAATATCGCAACTCCAGTATTTGCCTCCCCCTCTCCGATTCGCACAGTTATAGCAGCTGACTTTGACAATGACGGGACGCTTGAAGTGTTTTTCAACAATATTGCCTACAGAGGCAATGCCCCCAACAGGCTCTTCGGGTGAGTCCAAATGTTCAATTAAAAGAGGTATCCAACATATACTAATTTAATACATACTGTAAGTCTCTATTTTAAGTTGTTACACCTATCAATAATATCACAATGCTGCCCTAATTGACATATTAAAAACATCATTTATGCAGTATGAAACTGAAGAAGAGGGAACTCGAGTTCTAAACTTTTTTTGTCGTTTTATTTGAAAAAATACACATTTTTCTCATAATACTTAACAAGGTGGGTAGTGGAGCCATTGGTTGTTACGATATTTTTGCTGTCCACGGGTATCCGTGCGAGTCCACTTTGACCTGTGCAATTCTTTTCTTTTCTTGACATGCAGTGTCACAAATGATGGCGAAAAGCCAGTCACCCTTAATTATTTTATTTACGATATTAAAAGAGTTTCAAAAACGTTGGTGACCCCTGATCATTATTGTCGATAGTTAATGTAAATGTGAGCAATAAGCAGTACACAAAATGAAACGGTTTTACTGTATGTATACAAATAATGCGATACACATGGTTGTCATCTCACAGCTATAATACAACATGAAACTAATGCAAAACAGGGGAAAGAGACATCCTGTTAAAAAGTAAAAATTGTCACATTATCAGCAACATTATCAATATTTTATGTGGTTTTATCAGAAGAGGTAACAATATGATTCATTGCCATAACAGGATTATTCAGGCTCTACTTTTGACTGTGTGTGTGTTTGTAGGGTGTCAAGAAGAGCGAATGCTGACCCTTTAATCCAAGAACTTAATGTGGGAGATGCTGCAGAGCCTCAAGGCAGAGGAACAGGTCTCAAACAAAATATTACTAGGCCGCATTCTGTATTTTCCCCATAGTTTTTCGGTGTCGCAACTGTTCATCTCACACACACGGTAAGCTTGTTTTGTAGATTTCATTGCCTTTTTTCAACAGGCGGCACCGTGACTGATCTCGATGGAGACGGTCAGTTGGACCTTCTGCTGGCACACGGAGAGAGTTCAGCGCAACCAATCTCTGCCTTCAAAGTCACGCAGGTGTGCGGGTGTTTGTTTATGATCGACTCACCCGGTCTGTTTTGATCCTAACCTGTCACCGCGGTTGTCAGGGCTCGACAAATAAATGGCTTCGAGTCGTCCCTCGTACACAGTTTGGCTCGTACGCACGAGGTGCTAAGGTAACAGTCTTCACCAAGAAGAGTGGAGCTCATACACGCATCATTGACGGAGGATCCGGGTACCTGTGTGAAATGGAACCCGTTGCTCATTTTGGTTTAGGTAAGAGTGCTGTAATGACTTGAAATGAAGCCAATTCAACATGGGCCATTAATATGTTGTTTGCTGAGCCATGAAGGCTTTCAGACTTTTAAAGCTAAGAGAAAAGAGTCTGTCATCTTACCTTAACTAAGACGAGTTGAAATGAAATCAATGTTTTCTCACGGTATTACTGAAGTGTTAACCCTTTCATGCACCGTGTAACCTGATAGCATGATAAGCTGTCAACTGTAGTAACCGCTGCCCCTGAAAAGGTTAAATTATAAGACACCAATAACAGAACAAATAAGCCATTGGATTCATAAAGTATAAAACATCTGAAAATATAACACAACGATAACAGAAGAAATTAATACTATTTCAAACATAGCAATAAAAATAAAATCCATCCATCCATTCTCTGTATGGTTTATCTTCACTGTGGTAGTGGGTGTGCTGGAGCCGGGAATAGTTAAAACAGCTAATAAGATGAAGTTAAGTGAATCTCATTGATAGCGTTCATCCATCCATCCATTTTCTGATCCGCTTTATCCTCACAAGGGTCGCGGGGGGGTGCTGGAGCCCATCCCAGCCGTCTTCGGGCAGTAGGCCGGGGACACCCTGAACCGGTTGCCAGCCAATCGCAGTGATCGAGCTTTAAAAACCTGAAGTGTTTTAAATTGAAAACAATACACAAATACTTTGTCATTTGACTTTTTAGTGCAATAGTTGCAAATAAGTGAAGAGAAATAATATATTTAAGCTCAGCCAGCCTTTGAATCAGGATTTATCCCAGTGCTTAAAAAAAAAAAAAAAAACGTGTGTCTTAGGTTTGACATGGCGAAAACTTCTGAAGTCACTGGGAGGTTGAGTGTTCGCCTCACTATGTCAAAATACACCTAAATGCCATATGTCCCTTGTAATTTACTAAATAGACACAAAATACTCTGTAAAATTACAGTTATAAATAAATGCAAAAAAGGGTCTTGGTGCACACCAACAAAGAGTTAGTGAATAGCTTGGCAGTTCTCACAAAAGTGCTAAATGCTTTTAAATTCTACTTTCTAGTATTAATAATTGCAAAATATTGTTGCGTGTGATATTGTGGTGATGATTTTTAGGAAACGATGATGTGTCGGTGTTGGAGGTCTCTTGGCCTGATGGTAGCTTCATCACACGTGTCCTTCAGCCTGCCGAGATGAAATCAGTGGTGGAAGTAGCATATCCCAGGGACGCAGAATTGCCTACACTTACCAATGACACAGAGGTAGACGTTATCCTTTTCAATTCACTTTGTCTTTCTTTCAAATGTAAATACTGTACTATCTCCTTTTTTTTCCCAGTGTGGTCAAGGCTTTACTGTGAAGAATGGCCGCTGTAGAGGTAGGCCTTTTTTCCAGTTAAGTTATTCAATTTCAAGTAATTTTTTTCTTAATTTTCTTTTTTTCATGTTTTTACAGGCATCTGAGGATGTTTTTCATATGATCCACCTTGCCTTGCCAACCCATGTTTTTATTCTCTGTGATGAGTAGTCTTCTCTAAAATGTTCATTAATCATGAGTACAGTATTACCGTCTTACTTCATAATGTCATAACAAATTCCTGAAATAAAAGGGTTACAATCAACCTGCCGGGCACTTGTCATTTCATGATCACATGCCCCTGTGTCGATCTTTCCTGATGTTTTCGTCCTCCTACGTGTTCTTGCTGCCCTCCATCACAGCACCGGCTTCTTTTTTCAGTATCCACACCACTTCCAGCTCCAGGTTGAAGGCCTCCAATTTTCAGATGGTTTTATTCCTGTTCATCTGGCAGACCTGAGAAGCCTCTAGACTTGAAGGCGGCAATTATACAATAAGATCTTTTTCCACCTTTGCATGTTCTCGTGAGTTGTGTCCTGGTGTACTTATGTGCATCAAAGTGAACTGGGTGTGTCTAGGTTTTACTATTGTAAACAAGCTACATGAAGGGAAGACTCATGTCCTCAAAGGTTACGTAAATTTGGTTCTATTTTTACTCCCCTGTTAATTATATGCTATGCCATCTACTGTATTCACCACTGTGGTGGCATATACGTTAAAAAAAACAAAAACAAAAAGTTCAATGACAATACATTTTTACTTGCTGTTCATAAAATCTGCAAAAAATGTTGGACAGAGAAAAATAAAGGCAACTGAATGCATTTGTGATTAAATTGTATTTATTTGACAGCTGTCATTATCATTTCATTGCCATGTGTATCAAACAATTAAACTGCACCAACGTTTGAGTCTGAACAAAAATGTCACCGACATAATTGAGACATTCACACGAATGAGCCCCTTTTTGGCAAATATTTGTCTTTGGAGGTTTGGTCAGGTCACTATTTTGCATACTCTATGTGTAATTCAACATATGACAGGAAGACTATTTGAGTAGGTACTACTTTGTCTCACATGCTCATCTTTGCTACTACGTTCTTTGCATAAATAACATTTGGGAAGAATTGATCTAAATCAGAGAAACAGGTTTTATTTTAAACACCTGTGAATTTAGTCATTTATAGGCCTTGTATGTTGAAAATGGAAGACTTGCTACATTACATACATGGATGAATGTCATTCATCTGCTACGAGACAACGTGATACAGTGTCTTGATATTATCTGGACTTGGTTTTGATTTATAGCGTCGAGATCTTGGTAAGGTTGGGTGATATGTACAGTATACTCACACTTTAATGTCAAAGCCATGTATAAAATATTTAAAAGCCGGTGTGATTGTGCCTGGTTAGTTATTTTGAATGTCGGTCTACTTCCGGTTTAATTTCTCACAAGTTTTGTGGTTTGAATACAACTACTTGCTTCCGTCCTCTCACATGTGAGATAACACATCACTGAAAAAAAAATACAGAAAGAAACCTAAGTCCAATCACATCAAAAATAACCAGTAATAATCTTTTGTTCATTTCAACGAATGACTAAAGTGCACATTATGCATGTTCGAAATACCTTATAACTACCGATAATGTAAACGCAGCAGAGGAGAAATACGTCTTTCTTAGGTAACATCTTGTGGGCTCTTTGTGTTAGCAAAGTGAAGCCATGGAAACAGGTAGGAACGGTTCAAATGTCCAAAAGTTCTTCTCGAGGGTTATGAGTGATCAGAGGGACATTGTTTTGCCAGATGTACCCAGTCATCGAGCTGTGCTGCTGGACACAGAACTGCTCCCTGAGCTGCAGCCGCTGGAGCCCCTGTCTTCATAGATGGAAATCTCTATCTGGGGAAGGCCGTTAGGGACTGAGAGCGTGTCACAAGGGTATGCTTATATGAACTCGCAATCGTTCCAGTTCTTGAATACATGTACTTGGACAAACAATGAGTAAGGATACAACTCGCATTCCCCTCTCGATGGGATCAGTAATGAGCAGACCCCTGGGAGCATAGATCTTTTCATTCTGCTCCTGAATGTACTTGGCAATCTTCTTCAACACCTGCAGCGAAGCAAATTGTTTTTTTTTTAGGAGGGGGGGAGAAACACAGATTAAATGTTTATAAACCTTTTTTCACCTTCTCATAGCGTGTCTCCATGCAGAGGAAGATAAGATATGCTGTGGCGCAAGCCAGGCAGCCTTCCAGGTAAGACTGGCCTCCGATCTTTTCTGCTTCTGTGTAGTAGTTATTGAGTGTTTTCACGGTGTCCTCAAATAGAGTTCGTTCAATCTGCGCACATGAATGGATCAATGAATTTTGCTGAACGCAAAATATTGTGCAGCGCAGAAGTCAATGGACAACATAACATGTAAGGTGCACACAAAGATATCACATGCTCTCACCCTGCTCTCAAGCTCAGAGGGGAACTTGGTCTGGAACTTACAGGTGGTTCCCTCACTGTAGTCTCTCTGGATGAAGACTTTGTTGGCCAGGGATGCATTGTGCCTCAACTCCTGTAAATTGTGGAACTAAGGAAGAGAAATCCCATGTGCCCGTGCTGAGGGTTAATTCTGTTTTATACTGGGAATCAACAACTCAGCTCATAAGATGCAAAACCTTTGCTACAATGTTATAACCGGGCGAGTGAGTTGCAATTACATTTACTCACTAACCATCCATTTTCTAATTCACTTATCCTCACAAGGGTCGTGGGCGTGCTGGAGCCTATTCGAGCTGTCTTCGGGCAGTCGCCGGGGGGACATGCTGAACTGGTTGCCAGCCAATCGCAGGGCACTCATAGACGAACAACCGTTCGCGCTCACAATCACAACTCGGGACAATTTACAGTGTTCCATCAACTTGCCACGCATGCTTTTGGAATGTGGGAGGAAACTGGAGTACCCAGAGAAAACCCATACACAGGTATGTGAGAACATGCTTTCAGATACAAACACCATGGCTTCAAATAAAAAGAAATCAACATGGAATTGAAGTAGACTAATTTATGATGTTTGACACAAAAGTGAAATTTAGATATCACAAACATTTTACAATACACCACCGTACACCAATGATGTCTTTCATACTGCAGTGCACACTCACGAGAACAGATTGTACACATAAATTTCTACAGTAAGTGTATGTGCGTACCATATGATACTTGCTCTTGAGCGATCATTAGGATGCTGTGTTCTTCGACGTGATCTTTTAAACAGTTCCCATGGGAAAGACGCCTCTACTTCTCTCTTATTTCACCAGTTCAGGATAACTGTGTGCAAATAGTAGCTGTTGTTTTGGTCTTCTAACATGTAGGATGTTATAGGAGAGGCAGACAGTGCATGATTATCCATTTGGGCTCCACAAGGTGCTGGAGAGAAGCCCAGCGTTGGATACAATATCCTTAGCTGTCACTTCCAGTCTCTCTCTCTCTCTCTCTCTCTCTCTCTCTCTCTCTCTCTCTCTCTCTCTCTCTCTCTCTCTACTCGGAACAAAAGCTCAATGCATGTTATGGCATATTGTGAAGCTAGTGAGGTCATGCAAAATGTGGGGTTTCACAAAATATTTTTTTCAATGTAGTTGGTGCATTAATGTTCTATATCAGTGATTCCCAAATCGTGTATTATGGGAGATTATCAGGTGTGCCGTGGGAAATGACAAAATTTCACTTAATAGGCCCGAAAAATATTTATTCACTACTAATATTCTATATTTGTTCCTCGATGTATGCCAGCGACATAGTGACAGGCAGAACAATTGAATGCTCTCTCTTCCGCAATATGGCAGAAGATAAGGCTGGATGATTTATATTTTGTTTTCTGATTGAAATGTTCAATTTTCCGACAACACAAATGGGAAAGCCAAAGCTGTTTTTTAGTGCTCTTATCCCACGGATATACATTTGAACGGATTAACTATGCCACTTACTCGCTGCAGCAAGAAGTGACACCACCGGAAGCCATCTTGCGTTTCCATTTGTGAAGCGCACCAAACTTGAATACATTGATTTCTCCGCAAAGTTTCGATGTGATTTTCTGTCTCTTAGGCGAAAATGCCACAGTGTGTGCCTTAAGGTTGCACCAATAAATTTGGCAGAAACGCTACATGCACATTAAATCAGTTAAGAATGTGATTATAACTTTTCTCTTAAAGGTTTATCTTCGACCTGTCCCTGCTCTGGTGGTGAACGCTGTGAACATCACGACTGGGTGCTGTGCCTGTCCACCATCTCTCTAACAGCGCAAATCCTGCAGCTGACATCTGACGCTCATACCTGGGCCCTGCATCACCGTATAAGGTCCGGCATCTTGGCCACCCACCTGAACGTCCTGGTAAAGCCCGCTGTGCTTGGCGACCTGGCTGCCCTCCTCCCATCTGATGTCTCAAAAGCCCACGATACTGGTCTCCAGGGGCTGGACTCTTACACCCGTTTTAGTGTCCTTGCCCTTGCATTATTAAGAGTAATCACTTTTGATTTTCTGTCATGTTTGTAGGTGTTACTGCACATAAGTGAATATTGTTGCGAATCTTGATTTGAAAAAAAAATCTGAATTGAAACAAAATTGTAATATCTGCCAATAAAATTGCAAGTACATCTTGTACTACACTCGTGTGCCGTGAGATTGGTCGATAGTCATCTAACCTCGAAAGAAAAAATGTGGCCTCTGTCCGTGGTGCTGAAACTGTTACGTACGGATGCGTCCACCCTTGGGACACTCTCATCGGATTATGTGGACGCTCAACGCATAAAAGCACCCCGCTTAACATTGAGGCGAGGGCTACGTTTATGAAAACGACGTGCAATATCCGCTTGCATTCAGAACAGCTGAGTTAGCCTTCCTGTTTGACAAGGTTGGTAAGAGTAGAAAACAATGATATTTGGGCGAAACTAGCCAAGTAAAAGGAGAATGCCCTCGCGTGTCCTGATTCCACTAACACCGTGTAGGCTTGTTGCTTCCAACCGTGTCCAGTCTACGAGATCAGACCAGTTATTTTGCACACCAAGGTTACTGGCAGTGGCTACGCTAAGCATTAAAAGGCAGGATAAGGAGCACATCGTGCCAGTCTTACCTCAGTCGCCATGTTGCTGTTCGAGTCCCCGCGTGCTCTGACGACTGACACGGGACAGATTAAAAGATGGGGGAGGGGCTAGTCAGCAGCGCTATATGCTTTTATTTATCTGGACGTTAACTAAATCCCAGTGACGTCAGTCATCTGCAGATGTTTTTGCTCTGTTATCAATGGTAAGGTGGCCATATTGTTTTAAGATAGTCAATCAGTATGTTGGGTATGAAGACAACAACAATAATAATAATAATAATAATAATAATAATAATAATAATAATAATAATGCTACTACTACTACTACTAATAATAATAATAATAATAATAATAATGCACTCTTTATAGACATGAATGGGAATGTTTTATTTATTCAATTATTTATTTTATGTGTCCTGAAACTGGCTGTCAAATTCAGGGTGTATCCTGCTTCTCGGTCAAAGTCAGCTGGGATATGCTCCAACTCACCCATACTCAAGTAAGAGCGTTATGGAGGATGAAGGATCAGAATTAATAGCCCATGAGTGGGAACTGAACAGGCCTGTGGACTATGGCCACAATATTATCAGAAGCTCTGACCTACATTTACAACATACAAACAAGATTTGTTCCATTATATTGCACTTGCCCCCTACAGTCAAGAGGTGTACCACCCCGCCTCTCATTATCATATTGTCTTTATATAATCTCATGAATGTGTTTCTTTTACACTTTCTGACTGAAATCTGAAACCCTCAGGAGCCCGAATCGATTCGTAAACTTTTGAAAATAAATTAAACCCTTCGAAGGAACTGTTCATTGACTCCAGTCTGTATTTGAAGAACCAACATTCCCCTCGTCCGAAATTCAACGAACACGCGGGGAAGAGGAGGCCGCTCTTCCCCCAACATTTGGTGACCCAGACGTGATTTCGGACTGAGGTTTCGGCCAACAGACAGAACATCGGGCGCCCACAATTGACGAGGTAAGAGGACATTTATCCTCTAAATTGGTCTTCTGTCTGTTGGCTGAGATCGAGGTAAGGATTACGTCTTGAATTGATATTCTAAAAAGATAACTTGTGGCTGGATGAACAGTGAAATGCGCAATTGTAGTCAAAACATGCTCTGGATAAAAGGATCGAGTGCTTCTGAATAAAAAAGATCGAGTGCTTTTGCTAAATTAAGGATCGAGTACTTTTGTTTGGATTGTAACAAGTACTTTTGAAAATAAAAGAGGATCGAGCACTTTGCTAAATTAAGGTTCGAGTACGCTTGTTTGGAACTGTATCGAGTACTTTTGAAGGAATAAAAAGGATTGAGCACTTTTGAAAGATTCGAGTACCCTGATCTACGATCGGGATCGGGTACTTCTGCAAAAAGTATCGAGTGCTTCTGCTACATTAAGGAACAAGTACTCTTGTTTGAATCGTAACAGTACTTAAAAAAAAAAAAAAAAAGAAAAAACCGAACACTTCGATTTACAACAAAAATGAAGAAGGAGTTTGATAGGGAAAGTAAATAATTCGATAAATAAAACCATGATGTGTGAGTGTTCCTGCAAGTGAAGATGTGTGTGTGTGTGTGTGTGTGTGTGTGTGTGTGTGTGTGTGTGTGTGTGTGTGTGTGTGTGTGTGTGTGAGAGAGTGTGTGGGCCTTGTGTGTGTGTGTGTGAGCGACCGCCTGAGAGAGTGAACGGGAGAATGGAAAACATGCAGGACACCGGCCCTCGAGGACCGGACTTCGACACCTGTGACCTACAGGATTACATAGGAAATGTGGAGGACTTTGGGTTTATTTGCCCAATTGTTAGAATATTGGATTTTTCGTTGTTGGAAGGAAGTCTTAGTGATTGAATTGCTAAATCGGTGAGTGTTGAATTTCCTCATTCCTTGTGGTTCAGTTTTTTTCTTCTTTTCTTTTTGTCGTCTGACTGCGTTCAGAGATGATCTCCTTGTCGGGGCAGCTGTGCAGTGTGCCCCTGTGTTGCCAAGGACACACAATCGTCAGCTGGAGTTGTCTTGCTTGGACGAAGAACTATTTACTACGTCCGAAACCTCGGAAAAAATGAACTTCCTCTTGAAAGCAAAGCGTGCAATATTCATTAACAGTACATCGTGGAGGGCAAACAGGAACAGCGATAACACAGTACGACCAATAGGAGGCAACACTTGATCAAAACGTTTTGCAGTCTGCCAGAAAAAAGTCAACGAGAACGAATAGAAGCAAAAGAAGAAGACGATTACGTAGAAGAAGAGGAGGAAGAAAACATTGATACATCAGCTATCCAGATTAAGTAGCGTTTAAGTTTTATCATGAATCACGTCGACTTTTTGCTGTGCGTGCATTTTAGTAAATTGCAGTTGGAAGAACAGTTGGAAATAAAACGCTTAGGGCCGCACAGACCAGAAGACTTTGTACTCCTTCAACATGGAGATATGGTGACCCGCACCTTCAAAAAAGACTGGTTCGAAAAAAAGAAATGGCTAACCGCGAGCACGACCAAAAGCGCACTCTTTTGTTTCCCCTGTCTTCTTTTTGGTGGCTTGGACTCCGTATGGGCATCGATCGGCTTCAAAGACATTAAACATCTGTCCGAAAGAACGGCCAAGCACGAGAGCTCCTCGTCACACCTGAGATGTGCCATGAAGTTGGGTTTACTTGGGCTGCCCCCAGTGCAGAAGCGCATCGGTGACGCCGATCGGCTTGCCACAGAGGAACACAACAGACTAACCGGGGAGAATCGCTATGTTCTGGACAGACTGATTACCTGCGTTAAACTTTGTGGCAAGTGTGAAGTGGATTTGCACGGTCACGACGGGACACTAAACGCGACTCTCTTTAGTTGCATATTTGAAACCATGTGTGAGGGAGACACCAGGCTCAAAAGACACTATAACGCGCAGCCTTTCTTTCATTTGTCTTTAAGCACCATTCAGGACGAGCTACTGGACTGCATGTATGAGGTCTATAGGGAGGAAGTGGACAAACAATTGCAACAGACCCAGTTTGTTGGTCTGCAGGTCCATGAAATTACTCATGTCTCGTGCAATTCTCAAATGGCCATCGTGTTGCGATATGTGGTGAACAACACTCTTATCGAGAGATTCCTTGAGTTAATCGAAGTCACGGATAAAACTGCCTTCGGCCTTTCCGACGCCATCCAACAAGTTCTCGAGCCCTTGCATCTGGCTGAGAAACTTATCGTGCAAACCTATGATGGAGCTGCCATGCTGAGTGATGGCGAAGGCAGCGTGCAAACCCTGATGAGTTTAAAGTACCCAAACGCAGTGTTTGTGCATTGCTACTCCCACCAGTTAAATGTTACCCTGCAGCAGGCGTGCGCATCTCGAATCCGTGAGCTGAAGGTGTTTTTTGCTGATTTGTCTGGCTTTGC